TATATATATATATATATATGTAAAGAGGCGAGAAAAAGAGAAAAAGAAATCATATAGCATGATAAATATCCGGCTATAGTAAGTGCGAATATTATTAAATAGCCAAGTAACATTACGAGGACATACAACATGTGAAGATAACTATCGAATAATGTTCGTTTGTTAAAGACAAACAGCACTGCCGATTTTTCGATCGAGCATAATAGCTAAATCGTGTGGAAATAGAATTCGCATTACATCGTTTATTCGTGTATCATTAGGTTACTCATTGTCAGTTAAAATTGCTTAAAGTTATTTACATCACCCTTGCGTATAAATTATTTGAATTTATATTAAAATTTGTTCACCTATCTAAAGAGGAATCTCAAGTGAATATTTGTATTTTGCATTTTTTCTTGAGTAATGCACTTTCTAATTACCTATCCAAGGAGATTAAATATATTGTTTTTTATGAAATACTTTTATAATTTTTTCTTTCATATTGTGCTAAATTTATATTTCATATTGTACTAAACATTATTATCAATATTTAATTCTTATAATTTTTATGTAAAATAAAATTAGATTAGAAAATCATCTATGATAATCGAATAAATTATGACTATTGGAAGATTAAGTAAATTCTAAAGATTTTAAGTTCATTTACAATACAAAATCAGATTTATTATAAATTCTTTACGTTTTTCTAATTTAATTTAGGTGGAATTTAGGGGGGAGTAGTAGCGTTTCAGACTGATAGTGTTGAAAATCCAAAAGTTATCAGCGCACAATCACAAAACAAATGTTGCGCATTAAAATTTATTTAATCGAAAATATATTGTATTATTCGAAACATCTAACTGACCGTGATGATGACGTTCTCTGTCGTATTGAAAATCACATTTCCTATAACTTAACAAAAGTCATCGCCTTGAGATCCCTAATCTCTAATATATATAAATATCTTCTCTCGCGATCGATGCTCTAAGTATGCTGCCTACGACGATTACGACCGGCTAGTCGAGCTAGAGAATTTAATTGGCACTAGAACCGATACGTGATGCGAAAATTGTGCCTATATTGTATGCGAATTACACCGCTCCTAGATTGTCCGCGTAGAGCTTTCTTGGTGTTACGCTTGAAAGCTTTTAATATCACATAAGAGTTTTAATTCTAACCGAAGATGAAAATTTCGCGATGGCTTAATGGCGAACTAGATGCGATTTTTGCTTAAGAAAGCGTACGCAAATTTCAATTTGCGCCGTGGTTTCATCGAACGAGCGCACCTTGAGCAAATGTTCTCGCGATAAAGAATGCAAGAGAAATTAAGAATTTCTCCATTTATAATTCGATGCTCTAATGGTGTTTCAAATTACTTATCCGATTTCTAATTTTGATTATTCTTAAATATCGTATTACTGTAAATTACTGTAACTAAAATTTAGCATTGTTATTTAAAATTCATTTAATTTATCTGGTAAAAATAGCAGCGAGAGAGAATCGAGTCGGACGAAATCGTGTAGTTAATCACGAGATAAATTCGACGGACATTCGGAGATGATCGAGCGATCGATCGTAATGGAAACTATACTAGCAAGCTTCAAGTGGGGAATGAGTGCCGAAACATAGGGTCCATGAGAAGTTGCTATCTCATGAGAGTTCTTCCATTTTGGACACCTAAAGTAAGGCCGAGTAAGGATTCACAACCATACTAGATGTAGAGGGTTACGATATGGTTTCCATATGCTTCGAAACAAACGTTATTTTAACTAGTTTTGTCAAGTATGATACTAATTTCTTCAAGTAATTAAAAAACGCAAAGCTCAATCATCAATGAATAAAAATTATTTTAAGTAATATAAATAATTATATTAATTAATATTAAAATAGCTTTTCTAATTTTTTCGTTTACCATAATTCATTTCGAATATTTAAATTATATTTAATACATATTCGAAAATATTTTATACATTTCCTTTTCAAGTAACTACAATGAAAGTAACTCAATCATCGACTGACAAAATGAGAAATATAAACTAATTAATATGTTGCAATTACATACAGCATATGTCTTCGTTCATTTTAATCTGTTCCAAATATTCAAATTATTTAATATATTTTTAAAAATCGTTTTATACTTTTTCTGTTTTATTTTAGTGGTATCCTCGATTAAAGTTAACTAATAAATTATTATCTATATTAATTTATTTGCAAAACTTAGCAATTATGTTTGACCAAATACTATGATTGAGCGAGCATTCAATAGTAAACTATGTCGTTTCGTAGCTTACGGAATATAGTTCGCATATCCCTGCAAAAAATTCAACTTAAAAGTATATCATTATATCTATGCCTATAAACTATGCGCACAATGCGTACCAGCGTTCACGTGCGTTTTATGCGTTTTAATATATTCGTATATTTATATAATATATTTTCTCTTTGTCTATAGAATCCATGACGTGACTTGCGTCCGCGTACAAAATTCGTAACAACTCTTATATCGATTTCGAATAGAATTATGATCGGTAATATTCACAGGCTTAACTTACAGCCTAATCTTAACCTAAGTTACTTGGTGCGGAAGCGGATTTTGAAAGCAAACCGCGTCACTTGCTTCACTTATTTTTTTTCATAAAAAACTTTCACATTTTCCACTCAATATATCACCTTTGTACTCTTTTCAATATCTGCAATAATAATACTCATGGATCGCTTTTCCGATAAAATTTCTTTAAAAATATTTAATCCTATTTTAATTAATTTTAAAATTATTTTTAATTAAAATTTTAAAATTAATTATTTTATAATTATATTATTTTGCTCTTATTTTATCATTAAAAGATAACAATCTTTTCTTCTCTTATATAGTGCTGTATTAGAGAGAAATTAAACTAAATAAAAATATATAAAAGCAGCCTCGACGATCTACATTTAAAAAAATAATCACAATAGGATCAGACATGAAAAATGATTAAAACATTAACAGTTTTAGAAAATCGTAATTTAGTGTAGCGAGTAACGCGATTAGCTTGATAAGAATCCGCGTTGGAATTTATTTCTTCTGCTCGATGAAGAATGAAGATACATATTGCGCTTAGTATCGAACAATGGGTTCGTACTGCTTTCATTTCGATACTTGACTAGCGACTTAGTCACAAGGACAGCTTATGTGACTTCAATCGTAAATTCATGGCTACATAGCTTAGTCTAAACCCGATGCTGCTGCAAAACCTAATCTGTGCCATTTAAAAACTATTATGTACTGCTTAAACTTTTATCACGTAAGTAGGAAGGCGCGCCTTTATCACGATTGAGCTCGAAACACACGGAAATTTATCGTCATCATTTCGTAACTACTTCATTTGAAATTATTTTCGTAATTAATTTCTACAAGATTTTAAAATGCACAACTATACTAATGAACAATTTAGTGGATGTCAATGTACAGCATCCAATGTATTATTAATTAAATTAATTTATATTATTAATGCGATTTCGTTAATGCATAATATTATTTTCTGACATTGCCGCATGTTTCGAACCATATCTTCTCGAAACTCGCATGGAATACTGATAGATAATTGAAAAATCCGAGTTCTCATATTCATGACTCACTCTACGTCGTAAATTTAAAATACAAATAAATGCTTCGCGCAAACAATTCTTCCAATCGTTGATCCGTCAAATAAATTTGACATTATTATATTTCTTTCGAATAAGTGCTAACTAATCTCAGCTCAGATTGAAATATCGAGAAGAAGAGAGAAAAAGAGAAATATTTTTATGGCATATAAACCTAGGAATATGTTTCATTTATTGCACGAGTCAGATTAAGAGGATAAAAAAATCGGATGTAGCGTTTAAGCATTACTCTAAGACTTTTTCTGAGTAAACTCGATAACAACGAGATCCGTTTCCCCGCTTTTTGCAAATTTTTCCTAAATGATATTGCTCGATCGCTTAAATTTAAAAAGTAAAGTACGCTGGAGCCATTCGGAGATACTTTCTGGGATCACTCCCGTGCCGGGGGGTGAGCCCTTGGTAGCAGTCAGTATTCCTCTTCGTCTTCCTCGAATTCGTCCTCTGCCAAGATGCTGTTAAAATAAAAAGGTCAATAAATTACAGACATAAAAAGGAGAATAAGTAATATGAAAATTGCAAGATGAATGGAGGAATTACTTTGACAATTAAAATTCTACAAATCATATAATATCTAAAAGCTAAAAATGAAAGAAAAATATGTGTAATATAATTTAAAAAAAATTAAAAGAATTCATCAACGTTTGATCTTTCATTTACGCAATACTCAATTGCCATTGATTATCGTAGCAATCATATGGTGATTTCAAAGTAATTCCGTAGAATAAAATTTTTTCTGCTAGCCCGTACCGGGCACTGCATACATACACTTACTCTTCCTTTCTAGCATACTTGTCCATTAAATTGCGACTCGATCCGCCGCAAGTCTTGTTGATCGGCGGACAATACCAGTAGCATAGCACACCGAGCGTCGTAGCGAACAGTACTATGGGCACGATCAAGGCCAACACCAAATGCCTCAGATTTTCATCCCACGAATATCTGCAAACATGAAATAGTAAGGCTATGCTCTTTGCTAATGAGAAATAGACGATTGTGCAAACCGATGTGTGATTTTAAAAAAAAAAACTCGGTCATAAAATTATTCTGATAATGCGCCATTATATCAATGATTTCTTCAAATTTTTATCCTGATTAAAAATTGTGGCATTACGGCACTGTTTATATTTAGTTTATATTTATATTTAGACGATTAATTGTGTAACTATCAGTACTATAACAAGTGCATAACAATTTTTAATATCCAAGTAGCAGTTTGAAGAAATCGATATAATAGTGTATTAATAATTAATTTCGTGATTGTATGTTTGTAAAGGAGCTCACGATCAATCATGTTGAGCAACATTGCTTGTTGTACAACGTGATTGATTATGAATGAGGCTGATTGACGATTTACTATTATGTAAAATTATTATTATAAAAATCTGCCTGATATTTTTGACCTATTTACTTCATGAATAATGGCACAAATGAAAGTGTTAAAAAGAGATTAATTTTTGTAAAATTGTAAATATATTAATAAATGATTACATTTCATAAAGCGCATGATATCATATTATCCTTATCGTTCCTTAAATATTAAACAAAGATAAAATAATATACCATGTACATTAAGTTCTCTAAAATTTTTAGAGTGAACCTCATTTTGAAGAGTGAAATCTCACTTTTAAAAATTGAAAATGGAGTCACTCTTTTCCAAAACTGGTTCAATTTTTATTCTTTAGAATGAGATTTCACTTCAAAGAGTTTAAAGTGCGCTTTATGGAACGCAGTCATTATATGTTGCATAACTTTTCAAGCAACTTGATTAATCGTGAATGGGCCTCTTTTTATGCGAGAAACAGCGCACTATGTTTTGCATTAAGAATTGAATTCATACATACATCATCTCACTGATCATACCTTGCGACAACTGTCTCTGGATGTGTTCTACTGTAATAACAGGGAAATATCTTTCCCATATTTTCATAGGCGTATTTCTTGGCGAAAATAGTACAGTTGACTGTGGGTGGGTAACCGCATCCTTCTGTGTTCACAAAGAACTTGGTATCGGTAACGTCCCATGATACTGAACCCAATGGCTTCGCCGTAAATTCCTCGTATGGGAGTCTGGTGTAATTGACTTTGATTTGATGACAACGAAGCGCAGCGCTCGTACAACCTAGACAATAATAATTATATGATCGATTACATTCAAACATTTATTAAACGCGAATACAAAAGGGATCGAAGATTCACCTTCTCTGCAGCTCGCCCACGAACAGTTCTTCAACCCCTCCGCGTACACGTGCTCCGTCGTGACGCAAGCGACAGCATGCGGCGAGAAATCCGCCAGAATGGTGGTTATCGCCGGCTCGACGACGAACGGGATCAGAAACAGAAAGGCGAAAACCGCAAGGATTGCTGTAGTGCCTAGGCAGACCGAAGTATAAAACTTGGCCTTATCGATCATGGCGCCGATCTTGGACTCCTCCACCTGGACGCCCATTATCACCGTCGATTCGTCGGAATCAATGATTGCGACTTTTTGTGGGTCACGAAGACCCTACTCGTAATTTACTTAAAAATTTCTCGAAAGATGCGTATAACCACGATTTGCGTGGCCGATTCAGAGCACGTCCGAAAAGACGTGCTTGTAGTCCTTACGACACCTCGATTCACACTGTGACTCCTTCTTGTCCGATGGCTGCAGCGGGAGAGGAAATAATTTTCCTCGAATGAGGAATAAAATATTACATCTATGACGCAGACTGATTAAGCAATCTTAATGAAAATATAATTTGTTTTATTTAAGAATTAATCTAGAAACTTGTAAAATTGGACAAGATATGATATGACGAAGTAAATAACAATTATTCAACTTTTTAGATGTAAATAGAACTTATATAAAAAATTTTGGAATATGAAGCTTCTTGAGGTAAAGATCTTCGAGCTTGAGTAGGCCGACTTTCGTCGATATTGCTAGATTGCTCACATTGTCGTTCGCACTTCTGGTGTTTATGATGAGTTGTAGTTAAGATAAGCAAGGTTATCGAGAGCTCGTCTCGTGTCGATCATTCATCAGCAAGGCGCGCCTCTTGACTGTTAAACTTTAATTATTGGTCGCGACAAATCAATCAGAAAAGGGGAACCTCTTAAAAACTACAAATGTCACGTGTGAAAAACGCCAAAATTGAGTAAATCTTCTGTCTTGAATCGTTCTTTTCTGAATGAGAGAATCGTCCGGAATTATACGTTCGGTATCATGACAACATCTGCTCGTGTCACATAAGCATGCGTGCGCGGTCTTTCAAATATTTAGTGCAGGCAGTGCGAGTAGATAAATTCTTCCTGATCTCTTTGTTATGATCTGACCACTCTTTTTCGCTTCGTTTTCTTGATACTTTTGCAGGAATGTATACGTGTTGCGTTTTTTATTTTATTAAATTGCAAGATGAGAATTTTTTTATCACGCGTTCCCCCCCTCCCCACACTTCAGTAATGCCCGCGCAGGGAGAATATCGACTGACGAGCCGGACTCTCCTCCAGGAGGGGAATGCCTGTTAACACAACATTAAAATCTATATTGCAACATTAATAAAAGTGATTATCTATCAGTAAACAGCTCGCGGATTTCTCTTTTCGAATTTAAGCTTTGGACTTCGTAGAATAGTTCAAAATAAATAACAATCATATTTATTCTAATACATTTAATTGAATGATATATTTGTTTAAAGTTATTTAAATATTCTTCTAAAATAACCAAATAAAACAATTGCTTTTTATTTGGTATTTTCAATTAATCGTAATAACGTTGACCGAGTTTTTAATCTGCGGATTGCAAAATAAAGAAATAATATTACGCTGTATCTCTATAACAACACAAACATTGAAACAAATACATCTTCAATGTGACAGTATGTTCCTAAAAAGATCAATCCTTTAACGGAGTGTAGCATATCTATAACATTGACGATCATAGATTTACGTCTAGAAAATGAATGTATGTATGAATGTATCGAAAAATTCGGCATCTATATTGTTTAATTGCACTTAAGAATTGAAGATGCAAAAAAAGTGTGTGCATTGAACATTGAAAATATAATGCTTATTTCTTATTGCCAAAAAAGTTGTACATCGATAAATCAATAAATCAAAATATCAATACGCTTTTCACTTACAAGATTTTTGAGAAAAATCAAAAAAAATTTTTTAAATGATAAAACAGTGCCGCCGCTAAAGAATTAAATTTTGTTATATCACAATAATATACATTGAATACAAATGATGTTTCTCTTTAAAGATTGTTAACTTATTACAAATGAAAATTAATTGAAACTCAAAAATATATATTTTTATTATGATAGATGATAGATGATACATACATATAAAATTAAATATCTTGAATGTTAAATGCTATTTTAATCCTTTTAACATTCGTATTCAAAAAAATGTATTTCTTATACTGATATACTCTACACATATCCAAAGCTCGTATTATCTTTCCTCGATGAAAAGATAATAACAAAATATTTTAGTGAATAATGAGCGTTGGAAAAATAATTCAATTCACATATATTACTTTAGGTCTGATTTTATTAAAATTACAGTATCTTCATGCCATGCCATTTAAATGGTTTAGATTTATAAACTAAGAAATTTGCACAATGACAAGAATTATTATAAAAGTTATAATAGTTATTAAATAATTATAAAAATTATTATTATTACAACGATCGCGCAAAATGATTAATTTCTATCGAATGAGAGAAAAAAGAAGAGAAGAGAGAAGAAGGTATAATTTTAGACAATTGTATTGTCAATCGCGGATGAAAGTTACATAAAATTAATTATAAATAAATATTGTAAACTACAAGACAAGAGAAATCGAATGAAACACCTTTTGTAATGTGAAAGAACTGATTTAGGGCGATTTACAACTAATTATAACACCATGCCTTAGAACGCAACTATTTTCTGCCGAAAACAAGTCTTACGTGACGGATCTCAGAGCGCCATGACGGAGTCTCCTCCGCCAGCATCCCCTAAGTTGCCCGACGCGCTTCTCTCTATCGAGACCAGCGTGCCGGGCGTGCCCTTGAACCTCATTTTAGCGTCGTCCCCGACGACGACTGTTCTCTGACAGAAGATCAGAGTTAGACAGCTGACGACAAACAAAATACTCGGCAGCAATAACGCGATCAAAAACTCTCTATAGGTTGTGTGTAGATCGAATCGTGACACGACAACGCCCGTGTTATCCTCAGCGTAGTAACACGGGAATCTAGCACGCGCGTTATGATCGGACCCGTCCTTCCCGTATTCGTGAAGGAATTCTTTGCACTCATCTCGAAGCGTGTTCACGCATCCCTCGAGGTTGATCAACAATTTACTCTCGTTGGCGATGATCAGGCTCTGCTCCGGCGGTGCGACTGACTTATCGTTGTCCAGGGGTTTCGTGGCAAATATATTTAAGTAGGACAAGTAAGTGAAGTTCGTCAAATCGCTTAGCAGATCTTTCTCCAGCACGGAACCATTGATGCAGTCCACCGCTTCCACCCCCAATGTGGAATTAAAAATCCCGTAGCAGGAGGCCATCATGACGTCGCCACGATCTTCGTGCCATATCTCGCGATTAGTTGCCACGTCTATAGCTCGTTCGCACTGGCTCAAGTACACTTTGTCCCCACTAAGAAGGATCATATTCTTATTCCTGGTTGGGATATCGACGCATCTGCGATCGCAATTGTAGGGAGTGCGTATACGCTCGCAGGTGCCGCGATTACAATTGAATAGGCCGTCTATGTCTATACAAGTGATTTTGCCACGGCGACCTGAACACTTAAGGGGTGGATCCGTGTCGTGGAACATGCACTCGAAGGCATCGGTGATATTGATGCAGGTGCCCGAGGAGCAGTTGAATGTCCCGGTCAGATTGCGACACTCATCCGCGATGCACTTTGACTTCTTTGCGTTCTCCTGATCGATACCATAGCAAGTCTTATTCGTCGTGTTCGTACAGTTCGCTAACAGAATCGTGGATCCGTTCCTGCGGAGATTCACATGAATCTGCACGCAGGGCCCGGAGGTCTTGGACAAACACCATTCGCCACAACTACCCCATTCGCAATTGTCAGCGTTCACCGCTCGAATTGTTGTGCACATCACGGGTACTTCGCTGATGCCCGATTGGAACGCCCGTCCACTGGGCATGTAGATTGCGACCGTCAGATACACCAACGCGACCGAGGACAGCACCATCGTCATCTGACAGATGCAGATGGTGCCGCAGATGCGGCCATCCTGCGGTGGTATCACCAGGTTTTCCACCGGAACTGGTTTCGGCATTCTTCTTCTGCTTCTTCTGCTCCGATTGGATTGATCGCTCACCAATCGATTGTCTACGTGCACTTGTTCATCTTATATGGACGAAAGTGTAATTGATATTTTGCTAAATAAACACATTATTTATGTTTACTTGAATAGATTGGAGAAGACTCAATGATGATTTAATAACTATTTAAAGACCATAAATCAATCGAAGGTTGTTCGTATTTTTCTTCAACAATCTTATCAGCATTTGTAAAGAAAAAAGATCACTCTTGAATTCTCCAACATCTTAATAAGATATAATGAAAACCTTCAAATTGTACATATCATTATTGTTACTGGCTATTATATAAGTCAAAATTGCACTTTTATCGATAAGTCCCACAACACTCGTTGCTGAATGGGAAAATATTTTAACAAAGATAATTATTTTAACAAAGACAGTTTTATTAAACAGACTTTCAAGCGTTTCAATCACCAAAAATTAAGCGGTTAATGTTGTTGCACAGCTTTTTATATCTCGTGACATGTCGCGAGGATCGTTCGTCGCAACATTCCGTATCACATCACAAACACGACGCAGCGTTGATGATTCAGCCTTTATCTCGATCTTTACGTTACTTTTCGCAAAATCGCGAATTCGTCGAATCCCGCCCCACACAGAAATATAAGCGCATTTGCATCATCGGCATTCCACGTCAAAGGTTTCCACGCGCGTAAAAGTCTCTTTCCTTTTTACCGCAGGACGAGTCTACCCGCGCGCATGTTCTGTCCGGTCCTCGTGTAATATGCGCCGACGGCACCCTCGCGCGAAGACGCACATTGATCGCGGTGCCGCGCGACTGCGCATCGCCGGACTGCAACGATACCGTCCGCGTTACTGCAATTGACGTCATGTACTACGAAGACTTCTAAGGGAGGATGATGCAGAGTGATCTCCAGAGATGGCGGGTTTCGATCAATTCAGATCAGCTCAATTCGGTCGCGATTTTTTGAAATTTTTCGCGAGTCGCCAAACGACAATACGAGTTGGAGAACGTCAGAATTTTTCTAGTAGGACATTTTTTTATATTTTCCTATTTTTTAAAAGATTCAAGATTTATACGATTTGTATAAGAGTTCTTAAGTTAAATTTAATTACATCGTTTGAAAACTTTTATTTAATGTTATATAATTAAAATCTGATGAACTGGTAATGATGCGAGTTAAGTAAAGGTTTTCTAAAAAAAACTTTAAAAATAGTCAAGCATGCTATGAGGAATCATAATAAAATCGCTGCTGAGAATAAAGTAGGTTAAAGCAAAGTGTCCCAAGTACGAAGCGGAATAATTTCCAACTGC